AAAGAAGACGATAATGGAATGATCAGAGGTGGGGTGGGTGTGGGTATATTTTTTATCAACATCCACATCCATAGTCTCATAGAAACGATAGATATCAGTCATTTACGACTTGTTCTGCAAATATCAATAGAAGTCTATGTAAAATTATTATGATAATGTATCGATAATCGAATTCAATAGCAAAAAGGGTGTGGATGTGGATGTGAGTCTTCTTTTCATGTAGTCTTACACAGTTGCACACAATAACCCTTGCAATACTTATGAAATTTAATGTTTTCCTCTCGCATCTACTGTTATAGGTACTTAACCATCAGTTATAGTCAGCATCACAATCAGTCCACACACATGCTTTGGATCTAATTTTAATAGCAAAAAAGATTTTGTTGATCTGATAGAATTACTTATTGCGAAAAATTCAGCATTTCTTGCGAAGGTCAATTTAGCCCTCAACGGGATCTCTACTGTGCAGAGTTGTCGATTGTTTTCAAAAGTAGGAGGGGCTAAAAATTCGGCAGAAAGTTTGAAAATTTTGGCAGAAAGTGTTTTTATTCGACTTTCTGCCAGAAAAATGGTGAACAGTGCACAAAAACAGAGTTTCGGCTAGAATTTACCATGACATTTTTTAAAATTTGGCAGAAAGCATCAGAAATTTTCGCAGAAAGTCGGCTATGTTTTCAATTTTTGATCGGGGAACGACCTCCTCCCCTAATCGACAAGCCTACTACTGTGTGTTAAGCACTGAACTTCAATTTCATTCGGGTGAAATAAATGGCATACAAATCGGATCAGAGTCAATCTCCAGATAATAAATTGTTGTCACTCTAACGTCATTCTCACTCTCTTTATAGATTGTGCAGACATGCGTGTTAGAGAGAATTTTTCAGTGGTTAATTAAGCGTTGGCTCATTATGACAGTATCATTATTTTCATATCATAGTTTCATAACTATATATTCAATGCTCCACGACTATCACATAGTCAGCAAACCATAAAAATATTAAAGAAACTTTCATTCCTAATCGATAGTCTGTTTTGGCTTTTTTGATCTTCGACAGATGATTCTTTTAGTTAGTAATTATGATTAACAGTCTCATCTGTACACGTAGACTGATGTTATTATAATATCTCAACAAATGTTCGATGTAAGTTTGTTGGCAGACAGAGCCAATTTATTGGAGAATCGCCCGAAAACTACGATATAATTGGTACAATGCGTTGTTGCATTTTCTTTCACTTTCGTGACTGAAAGAAATGCCAACATTATATTTTTTCCTGTCATGTGAGTATAAAATAAACTATTACAATAAAGACCATGTAAAATATTGCCCTGAAGATCACTTGCAATTTAAAGGTAAAGTTACAACAGAAAGAAATCGACAACGACATGCACACTGCGAAAAGGGAACCAACATTGAATGATGAATAGTTATTTTATGATGACAGAATAAAAAAATTCATTCCTTTACTTTATGTCATTGATGTGTCAATATAAGACACAACTCCCGTAAACAAGTAAAATGTTGTTTATTCATGTGAAATTATCTTGAATGAGAATTTTTTTTAAATACACTGTACGAATATACTGCATTTGTCTAAAATTAACAGCAAGATAACACTTATACGATGAACAAATGTTTTTCATAATGAAAATAGAATTGAAATGTTATATTATTTTATAATTTGGAGAACATTGACCGAATAAAAGCAAAAAGAAGCAGCTATGGTTTACATTATAGAAAGCATGAAATGATGAAATAGTCAATAAGATGAATGGAAGTTGAAAATTTTATGTTGGCACTGAATTCGTGGCGACAGGGCGAACACTTGTGCTCAATACCAACTGATCTAAATGAAAAAGATATCAAAATTAGTCATGTATGTTTTTTTTCTACTGAAGGTCGTTCGTATCATTTCACATTTATCTTAGTTTTTAATCTTTGGCAATAATCAATGATGGACCACAAAAGTGAAATTCAGTGGGTGCGCACACCGATAAAAACATGTGATAATGCATTTGTTCGCTTGGAGGTCTAATGGCAATTCTCAGTAAAAGTAAGGAAAACATTTAATATCGATTGTGAGAAATACAACAGAAACACGAAAAGGACAAGCCATGAAAAGGTTTATGAGTATTCACTATATTATGATTTTTTTACCTCTTTCGAAGGATATGGATGTGATAGTGAACATTCGAATTCGATCAATCCATTGCTGCTCAACAAAGACTGTAATGCTTTATTCTTATTCTCTTCTAGTTTGCTTTTGTTTGATACCATGAATTAAAGACGAATGGCTGCAAATCACGCGGACTTTCAATGATTACAACATTTAATAATTGTGGCGACATATTTAAATTGTATTATAACCATAGGATATCGATTCATTTTGCATATTAGAAACTATTTTCATCAGTAAACTTATCGAAGGATCTACGTGAAAAAGTGTCTACCGGTCACCAAATTATTGTAAGATTTTTGCAAATATTATCTAGGAAGTATGTAGTTGTTCTTGTAGTATGACTTAGGGCAACTAGTAGGTTTTACCTATCTTCCATATGATAGACTCCTTATAAAGCTTTTCAGTTATTATTTACGCAAAATAAGTTAGAGAAAACCTTTTATATCAAAGATCTACGTAGAAAGCTCGACAGAAAATATACAGAACTTTTTTCTTTCATTATAGGGAGTTATAAATAGTTTTCTTGGAAAGCCATTGGACCTTTTACTATATTATCCAGACATATAAGGTTTCGTAGGGAAAAGGCTTTTTCTTTTCGAACACTTTGAGCAAAGGTACACTAGATATCATGAAGAACTATGGCTCATTCTATCAAACCATAAGAAATTTCTTAAGAAAATTTTAAAGCATTTTTCATCATTTTGAGTTTCGATATTTTTGTGTGAATGGTGAAAAAGTCTTTCATATTGTTCTGAACCTTCAAAATGCTTCATATCAAGATTGCTCAATCTGTCGAATTTCTTTATATCTAAACATGTTCGGTGAGGAAACTATCATATATGTCAAACTTAAAAGCTGAATTCAATTGAACACAAGTTGAAACTCGAAAAGTCGAATATTAACTTTCAAGTCTCACGTCTCACCTTTCAGTTTTCATGTTTCAAATCGATATAGTCACACTTCAGAGTTGAGTGCCACAGAAACAAAGACGATAAAAAATTTAAAATTGAAACTTGAAGGGTGGTTTTCAACAAGTTTGAAGTTTGACATTTCTAGAGATATTATCTCCTAGTTGCCGTAAGTTAATTTTTTATTATCTCTTCGATAAAGAACGTAATACAAAATGAGTTTATCGGAAAAGAACGAAGGAAGAAAATGAAAAAGAACAATCTGTCGCGCTTCTTCAATTAATGTGAGAATCGAAGAAAAATTTTATTTTTTTACCTATTCTAGAATATTGAATATGAGCCGATCTACGAATAGCCGTGCTTGGTACTCGACCAAGTCGTTTTAATGGAACTCTATGGCTATTACGATTATTTGATAATTGACCAAATCTTGGTGGATAGCCAGCAGATATTGCTAAATCTATGACGTCACTTACTACAAGTGAGATAGAGAAGAGTCACATATCAATGTTACACTAAAGAACTCACCTAGAACAGAAGCGTTCATATTGCTAATGGTACCATTTTGAGATGAGACAATAGTATTGCTTTGATATTGGGAAACTGTCAAGTGCAAAAGAAAAGACAGTAAAATTTAATAAAATAATAATAAGATTTTAGAATTTTTTATTTATAATATAAAACTCTTATCAAAAATTATTAGTTTGAAAATTTAATTTCTCTAAAATTTATTTTATGAAAAATGTTTCTATAGAAAGTGAAAGGTTTTTTTTTTGGCAAAATATTATCTGTAGTCATTGTGTAACTTCGATCTATAATATAACGTTTAAAAATAAAACTTCAACGAAAAAGTAAATTTAAACATGTATCAAGAATTAAAATTCAATGGGAATATATGTTATCTAGAACAAGTATTTGTCTTACTATTATATTTATATTTCAATCATTTTACATAATTTTTCATTCATTTTTTTTTTGTAAAACAATATCTGTTATAGTTTTGTTTAAATCGATATTATTGTACTCAAATACTATATCGTTTTTCTATTTTAGAAAGCAGCATGATTGCAGATGAACATCAGAAACAACTCTGAAAATCTTTAAAGTTTTCCGAAACAAATTCATTATGTATTTTTAAAATGATTTCATAAATTTTTCATTATGACATGCTCTTTGTTCACAAAGTACAATGCAATTCAATAGACATTATCCAAATTCATTTGGTTGGATTATTTAATGAAAAATCTGTGTCACGATAAAAAATTTACAATCATTTCACGAATGAAATACTTTTGATTCTAGTGCTTAATTATATTGTATTTTAAATATGAAGAGATATATATTTATTGAGTCTAACATATGAGTTTTCTAGAAAATGATATGACAAGTCTTTTTGAAAGAAAAATGATAGAGAGATTGATATAAAGTAAATGAGATATGAACTAACATTTAAGGTCTTCGTTTATTTTAAATTTTTCATCAAAGAATTTTCTTTTTTCTATCAATATTTTAACAATCAGAAGTTATCAAATTTACAAAAAAATAATGACAACAGAAACTCCCCAAGTTATTCAATTTTTTTTGTATTTTGTCCCATATAAAATATTACTTTCTACATTTCAAGAATTGATATAGTAAATTTTGTTGTATAGCAAAAAAGAATGTTAATTAATCTAATTCTATATTACAAAAAGTAATCAGAAAACATTTTGTTATATCTATATTCAGTTTTTGTTTTTCTCCTTTTTTTCAGACTATCAAATACAAACG